AAGGGTCCTGAGCAGCAAGGTGACGGGGGAGGTGGGGGTGACCAGGGAGGGGTCCTGAGCAGCAAGGTGACAGGGGAGGTGGGGGTGACCAGGGAGGGGTCCTGAGCAGCAAGGTGAGGGGGAGGCCGGGGACTTATGGGAAAGGATCTTGGCCCTGCACCAGCTATGTGGCCACTGAGTGATGCTTCTGCTGTCCAGGACCAAGAATAGTGTGTCCTTGGCCTTGAGCCTGAGTGTCCACATAGCCAGTGCAGACTGAAGTGCCTCTGGTCTTCTCTGGGTGCTGGGGGGGCAGCTCTCTCAGTCAGAGGCTAAAACCAGCAGTCTCTTGCACACAAGAGCCTCTGGGGCCCTGGGGTGGGTGCTGGGAGCTCTGCATCTCCCAGACAAGTTGTCCCTGAATGCACACGACCAGGCTGCAGAGCCGTGGGCTCTTGCCATGGCCTCAAGCAGTCCTCCTTTGAGGATGCCTGGTTCTGGCCTTTGGCATTTCTCTGCCTTGCTGACCCTTGGTTTCCGACTGCCCCCAAGCTTCTGCCTCCTGCTGACCTGCTGCATCCTCACGCATGGGGTCAGCTGCCAGAGTGTCACGAGGAACAGATGGATCCCAGCTGCATCCAGGAGCCTGCCCGGGCATCTGAGAAGCCTTGCTGGGGCAGCTGTGGGAGCCTCGGGTCACTCCCTTTACAGACATGGGGATATTGGGGCCTGGAGAGGCAGTGGTCTGAGAAGCCACTGCCTCTAACACTGTCTTCCTTGACACTGTGGTAGCTACCTCCACACCTGGGGGTCCTCTGCAGAGGGGACCCCTCAACATGATGGCTGTCACTGGGCCTTTTGCTTGGGATTGTAACCCTCAGCAGGCGGTAAGGGGGCTGGAGAGGGGAGTAAGCCACCAAGGGCACAGGGCTAGCCTGAGGACAGCAGCTGCCAGGCTTTGAAGCCTGTGGTTGGTGGAGGGACTGAGGCTCGAGGACGTTGTGAGCCCCTGCCTGACCCTGTGTGTCCCCTCCCTCTCTCCTCCCTGTTGTCCCCGTGGCATGCAGCCACTTGCCTTGAGTCCCAGCTAGGGGAGGGGCAGGATCGAATCCAGGCCTCTGGTGCTCAGAGCCTGAGCTCCTAGCCCCTGTGCCCCAGACAGGGCTGAGCCCACCAGCTTCTCCTGCCTTTGCTCAGCCTCGCAGGGGCTCAGCCACTCCTGTATATGGTGCAGCCTAGCAATGCAGACCCCGTGCAGGGGAAGAGCCACCGGGGAGTTTCGTAAGGATGCTGGCTGCTAAACACACATGTGTACGCACACATGCCCACGCCCCCACACACATGCACGCTGCTACACGCATAGGCCCACACGCCCATGCACATGCACACATGTACATGGATACACATATGCACACCCCCATTCACATGCACATGGATAAATGTGCCCACACCCACACACATGCACACAGGTACACATGTGCATGCCCACACTTACATGTGCACACACACCCCCACACATGTGCGGACACAAGTGCACACACATCCGCACCTGTGCATACTTACACACACACACAAGATTGTGATTGGAGGTGTCTGCAGGCTCCTCACGAC